GGGTTGGAATAGATGATAACAGCCCCAACGGATGTCACATATACTGGCCTGAAAAGAAGTCAGTCACTGTCAAAAGAAACGTGTACTGGGACCCCTCCTCGGCTGAGCCGTTACCTCGTGAGGGGGAGGAAGAAGATGCGTACTTACCAAACGCGATGCTAACGTCTACAGCGCCTGTCGCAGAGATTGCTGCAGCTCCATCACCTCCACCAGTCGCTCCAGCTCAACCCGTGCCTCCACCGCTTCCAGCCGATCCACCTGTTGCGAAATGAATCTGAAAACCCAGCCAGCACCTCGCAGAGATTCTCGCTGGAAAAGGTAGTACCAACCGTCACAGTACACCTGAAGTACCAAAAGGAGTTCAGTTACCTACCATTGTCGAGGAACGTTCAAACCCTGTCAGGCTCGAGGGGGAGCAAGAGACTGCCACAGCCCTACTCGCATCTATCATTGAAGACTCGGACAATGACCTATGTCGGATTGACCTTGCTATGGCTATGGACGAGATTACTGCCGAAACAGAAGCTCTCGAGCCCAGCTCGCTAGCTGAAGCTCGTCGCTGTCCCGATTGGCTGCAATGGGAAAATGGAATAAGAGAGGAGTTAGCAACGTTATGGGATGCAGGAACTTGGGAACTCGTCAACTTACCCCCTGGTGCAAATGACATAGGTTCAAAATGGGTGTTCCGGGCCAAGAAGGATGCCGCAGGAAACATCATGCGGCACAAGGCCAGACTTGTTGCCCAGGGGTACTCGCAGGTTGAAGGTGTTGATTACTTCGATACATTTGCACCAGTAGCAACACTTGCATCCATCCATGTTGTACTCGCAATGGCTGCTCACTCCAATCTACAACTCCATCAGATAGATATCAAAGGAGCATACCTAAATGGCACACTCACCGATGACAAAGTCATTTACATGCGCCAGCCTCCCAGGTTTGAATCTGCTGATCACCCACACAAGGTCTGCCACCTTCGCAAAACTTTGTATGGCCTAAAGCAAAGTGGTCATCGCTGGTACCAGAGGCTAGTTGAGATATTAGTAGACAAGCTCAGGTTCACCCAGTGTTCTGTTGACCAAGCCGTGTACTTCCGACATCGCAACACCGGCGAGCTCATAATCATTGTCGTACATGTCGACAACTGCACTATCGCTGCCACACTTTCAAGCGAGATTGATGAGTTCAAAAGGGACATCAGAAAGTACGTCGAGATAACTGACCTTGGCGAGCTCCATTGGTTGCTCGGGATAGAGGTCACCAGAAACCGAGATGAATGCACTATCTCACTGTGCCAGCATCCCTACATCGAATCGATCATCCAACACTTCGGCTTTGATGAGTTAAAACCCATATCAAACCCCATGGAACCTAGCACAAAGCTGCACTCTGGTCAGTCACCCTCCACCGGTGCTGAATACACTGCGATGAAACACATACCATATCACGAAGCTGTTGGCTCGCTGATGTATGCCTCCCTGGGTACCCGTCCTGACATCTCATATGCTGTGACCACCGTCTCCCATTTCTCTGGAAATCCTGGGATTCCCCACTGGGAAGCAGTTAGAAGAATATATCGTTACCTTCTTGGAACCAAGAATTTGAAGTTGACGTACAGTGGGACACCCAACATGCTCATAGGATATGCAGATGCAGACAGAAGTATGGCAGAAGACCACAGAGCCGTCTCAGGGTATGCTTTCTTGATAGATGGTGGTGCCATGTCATGGTCCTCAAAACGACAGGAAATCATCTCACTGTTGACGACTGAAAGTGAGTATGTGGCAGCCACCCATGCAGCCAAGGAAGCCTTATGGCTTTGGTTGCTCATTGGAGAGCTGTTTGGGCCACTCGCTGAACTGACCACGTTGTTCTCAGATAATCAATCAGCTATCGCACTCACCAAAGATCATCAATATCATGCATGCACCAAACATATCGATATCCATTTCCACTTCATCTGCTGGGTCATTGAAAATGGCAAGATCTGCTTAATCTACTGCCCCACCACCAATATGGTCACCGACACCCTGACTAAAGCTTTACCGTCGCCCAAGGTGAAGCACTTCGCCATTGAACTCGGTCTACATCCTACTTGAGGGGGAGTGTTAGATTTGGCAAGTCGCATGTAGCCCATTCCGAACACATCCGCTCTGGGTCGTGAGAACTGGTTTCCGCTTTAGACCCTTTTCTTACTCAACACTGTTACTGAACACACAAACTAACTCTCCATGTCCTTATGTTTATTGTATTCACAGTGTCTCGCACTTATGTGTGAGTCCTCTTGTTATCCACAAAGACCATAGTGCATCTCACAACAAGACAATACTTATTGTAAATGGGTTCAACACCCAGTGTTTCACTTCTATTGTTACATTACAGTATTTAGTTCTGCACTGTAGACCCCATCACCTCAGACATTGTCACTGTCTGCACACGACTGAGGTGAGTACAATATCCTTCTGCTTACTTTACTATGCTTACCATGCACCTAGTTACTTGTATAGGTAAATATATACAGACATTGTCGCTGTCTGCGTGCGACTGAGTTACTTGTATAGATACTTCTGTGAGTTAGCTCGACCCCACTCGGCCAAATGATAATGTTGGCCACAGTACGATACAAGTAATTGTGGAGTCAATGGATATCCTGCATCAGCAAGATAATAGCGCCCATCAGGAATCATGAAGTCCCACAAGCACACATTGTGGTAGACAGTAGCATCAGTGGCCAATCCTTCCCAGCCTCCAAGAACATATGTAATAATACCATCGAATGAGCATGCAATGAGACAATTTTGAGATAAGAAACCTTTGTGATTGCACATCAGATCCTGTTCACTTTTTGATGGCACACATGCAATATGTGTGCCATCAAGAGCACCTATGGCATCCTTGAAGTAAGGATAGAATTTAGTATTGGCAGTGATACAACTGGGGATTGGTGAATCAGCTCTGGGAAGGCAGACATATGTGGTATAAATTGGACCCTCACTGAATGCATGGGGCATTCATTTGAAATACCTGGGTAAAATATATGATTAGCAGAAATTCCATGCATTCAGGTGACTGCACACTCACTGTGATATAGTGTCTGTTGAATGTTGGAATTGCTCGCCAATATGCTGGGCTGATAAGCCCATAACCATTGCATACAGGAAAATTGCCAGTTGCTCTTCTAGCATGATGTTTCTTGAATCTTGAAGCTGCCCTTCTCAAAGGATAGATATGAGCATGAGGAAGATATGTTTGTGAATGCCAAGTTCAGTTCTGATCTGCTGGGGGTGCCCATTAAGCAGTTCATCTACCCATCCCTGTCCCAAAAGAGAAGATGTGTGGTAAGGTTCTGGGGTAGCGCTTCAAAGGGTTGTGATTGCAGCCTGGTATATACCAAGTACAGTGGTGACTGTTGCATAGTTCTGAACCTGCTGCATGACTAGCACCCTCTGAATGAGATCGGACCTGGAATCTTCATCATCATCCTCCTCTTCCTCCTCCATGGTAATGAGGCAATTCTCAACCATAGCAATAGTCAACAGTGTAGTGTATGAGTGGTTGATTGCCATGTGCCCACAGCCAGGTATCAACTTGGAAGTCCACTGAACTCCACAAAGACTTGGTTTGTATATGTTTTGCATAAGGAAGCAGAAATTTCGCTACTGTTCAGGCCCTAAGTTACTAGAATTTACTAGCAAAGGTGGTGAGGCAACTATGGGTATAGCTCTGGATTGGGTGGTCTAAATAGTGTGGTTCATGTTTGTCCATGTATGTCTATGGGTTTCCTACATCTGCAAATCGCTTAGTGCTCTAAGAGCAACATTAGAGCGCTTAGCATCAGTAACAGTGTGTGCTGAGCTCTCAAACAATTCAAAAACTGTCTGAAGTGCATGCTGTAATTCGACTGTCTTGCAGATGCTACCACCTCCCATAGTTTGGTGTTGATTCCCCAGCTGTTATCATTCAAGGGTCTCCCCTCTCCCTCCCCAGGTGATACCTCACAGGTGTGTGCACAATAGCTTGCCCATTTCACCATCCTACTTCTTGCTTTTTTCAGAATGCAGTACCACTCAATGAGACCTTTCAAATTGTTGTAGTTTATGTGCTTTATTTTTGTTTGTTTTCCTTTCTGACTTACAACTACTGTGTTTTTGCTTCATAGTGCGCAATTTTGCATGCTTAGTCAGCACCCAGTAGTACATGTGCATACAACTTTTTATTATACAAAAATAATAGACATGTTGCAGCTTAGCCAGAGATGAAAGACAGTTTGAGTAGGCATCTGTGGGCCCAGGGCCTGAGATAACAAGGGTTGCATTGTACAAAATATGTGCATGTCAGACTCAGAATATCAGTAAATTCAGCCAAATTACAGCATGCACATTAGACAGTTTTTGAATGCTTGGCAAACACTGGCAAACATTAAGCACTTGAAAACCCAGGTTTTTGAACACTTAGCTTTACTGATGAAGACACTGTCACAAAGATGCTGCTGGTATGTCACATGACATATCAGGGGGGCAGCAAAGGAAGCTAAGGGTGTACTCTTTCCAAATCTCCAAAAACACGTTCAATGGTTATTTGCTAGTAAATTCTAGTAGCTTAGACTATTAGCTACTAGGCGGTTCCGGGGTCCACAATCTCATAATACTTAAGTACCAAAATATTTCCCAATATGGTATAGATCCATTACGTAACACACCATCTGCAAAACTACCCGAGGGAGTGAGCAGGTTATACCTGCCTCCGTTTGGAAGTGACTGGTCATAAGACTCGCTAAGACACTTGTTGGCCAATGAGAGAGCTCGCTCAAGTGCGGAAGAGCTGTTAACAGCCGCGTCGCGTAGCTGTTTCCCAGATGTGGGTTTTCAAGCGCTTAATGTTCGCCAGTGTTTGCCGAGCATTCAAAAACTGTCTAATGTGCATGCTGTAATTTGGCTGAATTTACTGATGCAGAAGTGTCTGACATTGTAGATCAGATCAGCAGGCATATTCTGATTCAAGCATGGTTGCGGAGGACTTCTGCCAGCGAATGTGTACATAATTAATGACACCACTCATACAGGAATACCCTATTATGGACTCTACATGGTCTTTTCCCCCTTCCCTCTTTGTGCGGTGCACATCGGAACACGGGGTAAAGGCTGCGGAGTTATCGAGACAACATGCTGGTGTGGTGGGGAGACCGAGACCAGAGCGAAAGCAAAACTCGACTTGAGAACTGTAAGTATATGACAGTGCATCAGGGGGACGGGGAATGGTGGAATCACGGTCACGACCAGTCGGTGACAGGTTTAAAACATCTATTTACTTACTGATGTGGGCAACAAAACGTTAAGGCTCAAGAGCTAGTTCCATATTTAGGTCGAAGTGCGCCTTGTGGATGAATAAATAGGCGGGGGGGGAGACGAGAAGCGGCAGGATAAGATCAACTTGAGGTTTTTTCAGGTTGTTGTTGTTCCGAGGAGCTGTGCGTGCCAGACATTGCTTGGCTGCTATATCCGTCTCTCCACGTAGGCGTCGCGTTATCTGAGCAGTAATCCGAGCCGCCCACTTCAACTATTGTCAGAAGCTGGGTGGTCTGACGAGGCCGGACCGGTGTAGTATAGTCGTCATCCTCGTCAAAGTCGGTCGAGGGAGGAGGAGTTGCTGAACGACCATAACGATAGAGGAACGTCACGAAAACGAGTAAGTTGCACATAATGGTAGAGAACGCGATCTGGGTGCGAACAAAAGCGAGTTTACGGAGCTGAATCAGGGAATTCAATAACCTGGCGTGCCCTCACCTCAGCATCCATGACTAAAGAAACGATCAGATTGAGGCCTAGGAGCTGACATGTGGCACGGAAGATGGCGGCGAGCGTGATCGTGATACCCGACGCGAAAATCAACAGGATCATTCGTCGCTGTCGCGTCGGCAGTTTGACGTTCCATAGGAGCTTAATGGGTAAAGCAATAAGGATTGCATCGGTGATGAAATCAGCTACGCTGCGTTGTCAGAGGAGGATAAATATAACGGGTATCGACTGGCCAAACTCACTCGTCAATTCAAAGATAATCAAATTGGTGGCCAAGGGGAGGAGTGCATTTCCAAAGTACAAGGTATTGTTCATCCAGCTCAAGTCATGGCAATAATACCATAACTTTGCTGCCATGAAGGAGATAAACAACAGGAAGAACAGCAATCCTATTGCCAACACCATTCTTCTCAGTGTCAGAGTCGGATAGACAATCCGTGCCACGGTGAATAGTGTACTGTGGCGCACGAGCCTTTCCGCGGTGATCGTTAGATTTGCAGTATTGAGAAGAAGCTATCTCGTACCATATCACCGGGTTGAATGAGAAAACGTACATCCAAAACCCGACTGTTGAGGTCGGTTTCCCTGGAAATAGGATGAGACCGGCACCCTGAAGCACAAAACGTGTGATGTACGATACAAGACATCCAACCACGTTCCCGTCAGGTAAGTGATCGCAAAGAGGAAGGCGGCGAACGCCCAGGCGTCTTCCCACCACAGCCGTTGTATTCGATGTCGGAACCAAAACCGAAAGACGGCCAACAACAATCCGACCACCTGTAAAACCGTAGTTCCCACTGTGAACTGCGTGCTTGGTCAACCAGGCCTCGTGAGAAACAACGCAGTTAGTGCAACTTACCTCTCGCTTTCTCTATCACACCTAGGCCCACATCTAGGTTTACCATGATGCACAATGAAGCAGGCCTAAGCAGCGTGAGAGGAGGTGCAAGGGGGGGACGTACTGGTTTTGAGTCGAAATGGGCAGAAGTTAAATATTGTTGAGCTGATAGGCGCATGGTTCGTTGGCAGGACCCAAGCATGATAACAGTGTTACTGGCAATACCCCTGTCTGTGACAAGGGAGATTAGTATGTAATGATAGTCCCCATGTTATAGACCGCGAAGTGACATGAGAACCCACGAATTAACGTTCTACTCTGAAACAAAAATTTGTTGCACACTTGTGAAACCTATCAGACGAAGCTCAAGCCTACAGTGCGAGGAAATCGGGTATTGGAGACCATCAATCCTGGGGGCACATCACTTCAAGACGAACTCGAGTGAGGCGAAAGCAGAGGTGCCCTCGAAACTTCACTCGGTGGCACCAGCGGCCGCAGAGCGACAGCCATTTCGGGAGCTGTCTCAAACCAGTGGTCCACATGTAAGAGCTTAGTAGTTCCCTGCCAAAGCACTCGAGTTTTGCATGCAACTGACGATTTAGCGATACATAGTAGCCTTCGCACTCTGAAAATAAGCGACGACTTCTAGTTCTTTCAGTATTAACGGTGAAAACAACATCTTACCAGATTCGGTTGATTTTGCTTATGGGTGACAGCAGTGGTAATCAGCAGAACTTACTTACTGGTGAGAACCGCAACAGATGATAACTCTCTTGTCGCCATAGAAATTAGAGAGTTCTGCTGGCGCCCAAATTAATCAAGAAGAGTACTCACAGTTACGATATCATCATATTGACTGGCACCATACGAAGATCGGCGAACCCTCATTAACATTGTTGATTCATTCCATGTTCTCAGTCTGTACACAAGAAGAGGAGTAGTGAATGTCGATAGAAGCGTTTAACACCATTAAAACGCCATAATACAATACGGTATTACCACTCAAGATACAAGCCTGTTTCCAAGCGTCAGCCTCCAAGTCACGCCAGCCATCCATTGCAATCTATGTAGGGGGTGTTTGCTGGCCATTTACGTTCCCTCTCATGATCTCCTCGGTTCGCAGCTCCAGAGGTCCTGTTATCCCGTTCGGCAGTGGTTCGTCATCTGGGTCCGGGAAAGACAATGTTGATCCCTCCGCTTCGTAGAAATCATTCATCGTCAACGGTCGCATGTTAAACCCTTCCATTTCTATCTTCTTCATCGTCTCCCCGTCGAACGCCATCGTCCGCATGCAGTGCCGTATGGGCACCATAGCTGCGTTGCGGCAAAGCTCGCGAAGGTCCGATCCAGAGAATCCAGTCGTTTGTGCAGCAAGAGCTCGCATCGAAAACGAGGGGTCCAGTCTCGTACCTTTCAGCATCTGCGGTTATGACCAAGCGGCCAAGAGATGCGAATGTAGTGGTGTTTGATCAGCTGCCATGTTCCTGGTACAAATTACGTGGTCAACGTACAAGGGACAATATTTTGAAACGTTGCTCCGTGTCAGGAAGCCCAATAGCAAAACGTTTGGGCATGCGACGCAAGATAGCAGGGTCAATATCCATAGGGCGATTTGTTGCGCCTAGCACAAGGATCCTATCCGAGCCGGATAGCAACCCATCCCACGAGCTGCGAGCCGGTCAGTTAAAGTTGCAGAAGAAATTTTTTTGAGAGAAAAGTTAAAATAATGTTTAGGGCCATGGGAACGACGAAAACCCACGTCATAAACTCTGCCTTCATCATTCCCATAACCTCGTGGTCGTCGGACCGCCTCTCGCGGAGGAAAGTATCTATCTCATCAACAAAGATGATGGCTGGCTGAACTTTTCGTGCGAGGCTGAAGAGCGCTGCGACGAGTTTGTTTGACTCGCCAAACCATTTATTTGTCAGTACCGAGGCAGCGACATTGATGAACGTTGCTCCGGATTCTTTGGCGAGCGCGCGTGCCAACATTGTCTTGCCGCATCCGGGTGGGCCATAAAGCAAGACACCTTTAGGAGCACCCAGCAAGGAAGATGTGGAAGTGAATAGAGTTGGGTAGAGAAGGGGATAAATTATTGATTCGCGAAGCGAGGAGATGATGGAATCAAGACCACCGATGTCTGTTCAGGAAATAGTCATGACTGACGTTCACAAAAGGGCACACTACGCCAAAGCAGTTTCGATCACTAGTGCTTACCTTCAAAGCCAATGACGATGTGGTCAGGGTGCACGACTTCTAAGGCAATAGTGCCTGGAAACGAAGGGCAAAAAAAACCCATTAAAACAGAGCGGATTTGTGCTGCTCGACTGGACGCACGTTCGTAATCATCTAATTTAAGGTTGTGATGGCCAAGTTTCTTCATCACCTCTGTGCGGCGTTTCTCCGCATCTTTGTCCGCAGGATGTCGGTCCATTAGCCACTATAAACATGTTAGTTAGGCAACGGACAAGAACTACTAGCATGGAATTGATGAGAGGAGTGGCGCTGAAGTCGTAGTAGAGATGTGCAGTGAGGATCATCCACCTACTCGTATGGCGTAGAAGACGGCAGCCTGGAATAAGTGCACAACGAATCGGTCAACTTGCCAGTCATTGACAGAAACGAGGCGAGCAAGCATACCTGAGAAGCGACGAAAAGCGCAACTGGAAGTGGGGCAGAATGTCAGAAACCGATCAAGGCGTCCCGAGTTTTGAGCATCCAGGGCGGACGAAGAACTTACCGTCGAGAATGATGCGTTTTGCATTAGCCGACGAGCTCATTGTGTCCTAGCTGCTCCGTAGGTGTCCCAGAGCACAGATGTTGTTGTTCGTCAGACACAGCAACCTCTCGTCGGGTGTAGCAGACACCTGCTTCCACTTGGTAATAGTATTGACGCTGGAGGAGTTATCCCAAAAATAACTATTCCTGTCTTTACCATATTAAGCTGTACAGCCCCTACGTGCTGTACCTGCCGCACAAATCTTGTGGCGTCTGTTGCAGTACCGAACGGTTCTTAAACGACATCCAACTACCTCGTGAAGCCGCTGTGAGCATACACATCACCGCTAGTACGAACGGTGGCAGTCACGACCCCGTCCACAACCTCCGACTTCTTGGTTTTCCCCATAATACCTCCTTCAATATCTGTGACCGTGCCGTCGACACCCACGAGCCCAGTACGTCCAGCGTGCTGCATCATGAACTCCCCAATCTCTTCGTCCAGGTCGAAGGCCCCACTGTGGAAGTTATTGAGCGTCTCCTCCGTTATGTGAGTATGCGCGAGCGAAGGGGCTGCGTGCGATAACCTTGGATTGGTTTGATGGAGCGTAACAGGTGCTTGAACTGCAATGTGGCGAGAATTGGCAGGACTCCCGGCTCTCCGTAGACAAAACCATCGGCTGAAGTCACAACACTTCCAACGCGGTTGTGGGGGATCATTGGGACGGTCGCCACCGGGCCTGGAAAGAGACCGTGGTTTCCGAGCGACCAACCAGAAACCAAGTAGCAGTAATGCGAAGCAGACTGTAAGTGGAAAGCGTAAGTTAGTTGTCAAGGAATGCGAAACGTCGCGTCATGGGACATTGGGAGAATTTGGAGGATAGGAGATCCAGAAACCACAGAGCATTCCAAATCACCAACATTACACCCGTGGCGCGAACAGATGATCGTTCTCGACACAAGCGACCCATTCCCAGCTGGGAAAGCCACAGAATTACGAGGAACCACCGATGCAACGACACAGAAAGGACCCAAGGAAAGAGCGAAGTTTGGGGGGGCCAATGCAGGGAACGGAGGAGAGACGACGTACCTATCGCCCCTACAATAGCGATGACTGTCCTCGGCTGCATCTCTCCACTTTCGCTGCCTTGAACCGCAGTCTCATGATCTTCGCGCGTAACTTGCTTGTTTACAATGTGCTCTGAGCTATAAGTAGCGCAAACGCAACTTTCGACGACATACCGAGAGAAAAGTGGGGCCATAAACTTCCCACTAATGTGATTGAGGAACAGTCGCGGCGAGAGGATGTTCAGAGATGTGAAGGAAGGTGATGGGATGCAAACGACTCGAGAGTGTCATCCTTCGAATGAATACTATATACTCGCACCACATCCGAAACGACCCAGATTCCTGCTTCTGGCGAGAATCCAATGACATCAGCGAGAGTCCAGGAAAACGTCGACGATTGGATGCACTGGTGCTGCCCCACAGCAGTCTTACGGAATACTATCGGGGAAAACGGGGAAACACGACCAACGCACGCGAGGTTGTCCATGTCAAGATGGGCGCCAACATCTGGGAGGGTCAAAGGGGGCAGGGCTGGAACAGAGGCAAAACTAGTCGGACCGCGTCTACAGGATCAGTAATATTCGTATCGTGGGGAATAGATGGGACGAAACGTTGGGTTGCTGGTAGGGAAGTAGAAGCGTTTTCATGGAGTGGTACGCCACGGTAGGTCGCCAAGTTTCTTCATCACCACCTCCGTGCAGCGTTTCTCCGCATCTTTGTCCGTAGGATGTCGGTCCATTAGCCACTATAAATATGTTAGTTAGGCAACGGACAAGAACTACTGGCATGGAATTGATGAGACGAGTCAATGTGAAGGTCCTGAAGTCGTAGTAGAGATGTGCAGGGAGGATCATCCACCTACTCGTATTGCGTAGAAGACGGCAGTCTGGAATAAGTACACAGCCGAATCGGTCAACTTTCCAGTCATTGACAGAAACGAGGCGAGCAAGCATACCTGAGAAGCGACGAAAAGCGCAACTGGAAGTGGGGGAGAATGTCAGAAACCGATCAAGGCGTCCCGAGTTTTGAACATCCGGGGCGGACGAAGAACTTACCGTCGAGAATGATGCGTTTTGCATTATTATAAATATTCCTATACGAAATAAGCTCAGTCGCACGCTAGTAGCGACAACGTCTATTGTATTCCTGGATGCCGTTAGGCCCAGGTCTGTAAACATTTTGTGAGCGACGATGATACCGGACCGTTAACTCTGGTCACGTGCAGAGGAGGGGGGCAGGCTATGCCTTGCACCTGCCAGCTACTTCGATAGAGAGAAAACTTGCAAATGTTAGAACTATCCAGAGGTGTGAAATGCAGGATCGCTTGGGTATCGTCGATGCTGTTTTGGACACTTGGGGGCCAAGTCAGCAGCTCAACTTCATTATGTGTCCCACCTATCCTCCAGGTCTTTTTCCTCCCTGCAATGGTATCATTCATAAAACTCCACTAATACTGTACAGCTTCCCATTCCATCACACACACGATGATAACAGATCTCTTACATTGATAAGTAACACTCCCTCCTTCTGGTGCTTTCGTTTGAAAGACTTTGTAACTATGGACACCACATGCTCTCTCCAAATGTGTCCAGCAGTGCCCGGAGGGCTTTGGTATTCACCTATATGAAATAAGCTAGGTATGAAAATAAGCATAGTAAATGAAAGGTAAAAGATACTTGTGCTCACATCAGTCACATGCTAGTAGTGACAACATCTGAGGTGACAAGTCTACTATGTGAGACTAAATACTGCTATGTATAACAATACTACATCTGCAAAACTACCTGAGGGAATGAGAAGGTCATACCTGCCTCCATTTGGAAGTGACTTGTCATAAGACTCACTAAGGGCCTGAATGGTAGTAAAATTTCTGCTTCCTTATGCAAAACATATACAAACCAAGTCTGTGCAGAGTTCAGCGGACTTCGAAGTTGATAATTGTGGACTATCTGCAACTGTAGTGTCTACTGATCAGGTGATGACTCACAGTTACCCACATATGCATAGTATGATATGCCACCTTGACAAACTGACCATTATTGCAGGCTAGATCATTCCCCATCCCCAACCCACCACTCACTTTGACTTTGCAGCAAGATGGAAGGTAGGGGTTTTGGGTCAAAGGGAAAGGCCCCATCAATCAGTTCAAGCTCTGAGCCTCAGCCAAAGTTGCAAGCTGTATGGCCCCATGCAGATGTTGAGATACTTCTTGATTTTGTGGAGGAAATCTGACCCAAGGCAGGCAATCATATAGCCTTTCAAGCAGGGCACTTTAATGATTTAGTATCTCAGTTACCTGTCCAACCCAATGGCTACTGTAAAACTGCAAAAAACTGTCAGGACAAGTGGGAAAGTGTGTGTTGATTGATTTATCCTTGTGTTCTGTATCACTCATCTCATAAACAGCTGAAACAGGATTATTATGCAGCTTCAGCTGTGGCAGGGGGGTCAGGGCTTGTGTATTCAGCAGCAAAAGGTGCTATAATGTCATAACTGAGGCAGGGCAACTCATGATGGATGATATTGTTGAGGTACATCTGGGATTTTCTCATCATGTGGTGTGCAAATCCTTGACTGTCCACTAGAATCAACCAGATACTGCCCAGTACCACAACACAGGCTTCAAATACTTTGATTGTATGTGAGACTTTGTCCTTCCTGACAAGGTGAGGGGCACCAATGCACACCATGCCACCTGTTCCCAACCCCCTGCCCAAAGGTCCCAGGCTTCCACATCCACACCATCCAATTTTCCCCCCATGCCACCAATGCAAGCTGCTTTACAGTTTACCTTTGTGCCATATCAACCCAGGTCTCCTGATCAAAGTCAAATTATGCTGACTCCTCAGATGGTGCAGCCTGCTGTAAATGCTCAGGGTATGCCTCTACCACCAGGTGTTTCACAGGCCCAGTCTGGTGTGCCTACCCATACTCCTACCTGACCCCACAGTCTCCCCTTTGTTGATTCCCACATTGCCACCATCTTCTGTGATGACATCAGTAAGCACATCCATCAAACCTTCATCCAGCTTGTCATCTTGTGGCAAGAAGCAGAAAAGTGATGCCACTGCTGAGCTCAACACCATGTCCACAACAGCTTCCAGGGGAAGTTCTTCTGGTTCTTGAAAGTGGTGCTCACAGACAGCTGGCCTTGAAGATGTGGTGCAGGATCTCATGACTGGTGTGCAAGATAATGTCACCAAGATGCTTGCTGCTCTTGACCAATCCAAGAGCTGAGATCTAGATGAAGTTTGTGCCACTGATGTCTGAGCTTGAGAAGAACCTTTCAGAGTGAAACCTGGTCCACTTGCAAATGCTATTTGAAGAGAAACCTTCCTATGTCACAGGTTACAAGAATGCTGCTGCTCACTTGCCAACATACAGAATGTTTTGGGTCAAGATGAGGCTTGAGGTGGTTGGCTGCAAGGTTCCAGAATATGCAGGAATGGGGGGGGGATAAGTAGTCTATCTGTACTTGTGCCATTACACTGTAGTCAATGCTGTAGTTGAGAATCACAATGCAAAGGTCAAGTCACAATGTTTGGGAGCAGTAACATTCATGAGAGAGTTGTGAATACAAGGTATGCAATACAAAAAATACAAAAACTACAAATGGCTGAATCAACCACACCTCACAAGCTTGGCATGATAGTCCTCCCACATCTGCATTGCAATCATGTCACACAAGGCATTCATCTGCCTGCACAACTCAGTGTTCAATGGAATATCTTGCAAGTCTCCAACATCAGTTTCTTCAGGTGCTAGGAGTGGCCCTTCTTCTTCATCAACTGCATCAGGATCCTGGCATGTTGACATCATCAGGATTGTGGAGGTGGATAATATTGTGAAGGCAGCATGCAGCTGCAGGCAACTGTGATTGGATTGCCATATCATACTCAGGTGGAAGAATGAGGGTGCAAAAATGCCACTTTGTGATTCTGAAGTTATGCTCAATGTCATTTTGAAGCATGGTATGGCAAAGGTTGAAGAGTTCTTTGCTATCCTTTGGCCTGTATGGAGTGAATGAGAATCAAATGTACATAAGGATATGATAGTACTTACCGTAAGTTAGCTTGACCCCACTTGGCCAAATGATAATGTTGGCCATGGTATGGTACAAGTAATTGTGGAGTTGATGGATATCCTGTGTCAGCAAGATAATAGTGCCCATCAGGAATCATGAAGTCCTACAAGCATGCATTGTGGTAGACAGTAGCATCAGTGGCTGATCCTTCCCAGCCTCCAAGAACATATGTAATAATACCATCGAACAAGCATGTGATGAGACAATTTTGAGATAAGAAACCTTTGCAATTGTGCATCAGATCCCGTTCACTTTTTGATGGCACACATGCAATATGTGTGCCATCAAGAGCACCTATGGCATCCTTGAAGTAAGGATAGAATTTAGTATTGGTGGTGATATGACTGGGGATCAGTGAGTTGGCTCTGGGAAGGCAGACATATGTGGTATAAATTGGACCCTTGCTGAATGCATGGAGCATTTGTTTGAAATACCTGGGTAAAATATATGATTAGCAGAAATTCCATGCATTCAGGTGACTGTACACTCACCATGATATAGTGTCCATCAAATGTTGGAATCACTCACCAATATGCCAGGCTGATAAGCCCATAACCATTGTGTACAGGAAAATTGCCAGTTGCTCTTCTAGCATGATGTTTCTTGAATCTTGAAGCTGCCCTTCTCAAAGGATAGATATGAGCATGAGGAAGATATGTTTGTGAATGCCAAGTTTGGTTCTGATCTGCTGGGGGTGCCCATTAAGCAGTTCATCTACCCATTTCTGTCCCAAAAGAGAAGATGTGTGGTAGGGTTCTGGGGTAGCACTTTGAAGGGTTGTGATTGTGGCCTGGTATATACCAAGTACAGCAGCAACTGTTGCATAGTTCTGAACCTGCTGCATGACTAGCACCCTCCAAATGAGATTAGACCTGGAATCTTCATCATCATCATCCTCTTCCTCCTCCATGGTAATGAGGCAATTCTTGACCATAGCAATAGTCAACAGTGTAGTGTATGAGTGGTTGATTGTCATGTGCCCACAGCCAGGTATCAACTTTGAAGTCTGCTGAACTCCACACAGACTTGGTTTGTATATGTTTTGCATAAGGAAGCAGAAATTTCGCTACCATTCAGGCCCTAAGACACTTGTTGGCCAATGAGAGGGCTCGCTCAAGTGCGAAAGAGCTGTTAACAGCCGCGTCGCGTAGCTGTTTCCCAGATGTAAGACACTCGGGTGTTGAACCCGGAGTTTACGTGACAAGGGCGGTCTCGTTGTGAGACGCGCTACATTCTTCGTAAGTAATAAGAAACACGCACATGAGTGCGAGACACTGTAAATACAATAAGCATAAGGGCGCGAAAGTTAATTTGCGCGATCAACAATAATGTGGAGAATGAAATTCTTAGAACGGAAAGTAGTTCTCACGACTCGGAGCGGACGCGTTCGGACTACGCACGACTTGCCAAATCTAACACATTAGTCGGCGAGCTCGTTGTGTCCTAGCTGCTCCGTAGGTGTCCCAGAGCACAGATGTTGTTGTTCGTCAGACACAGCAACCTCTCGTCGGGTGTAGCAGACACTTGCTTCCACTTGGTAAATAGTATTGACGCTGGAGCAGCTGCAGGAGTTATCCTAAAAATAATTATTCCTGTCTTTACCATATTAGGCTGTACAGCCCCTACGTGCTGTACAAATTTTGTGGCGTCTGTTGCAGTACCGAGATTATCAGAACCCGCTACGCCCCACCCCGTCGTTCTTAAACGACATCCAACTAGCTCGTAAAGCCGCTGTGAGCATACACATCACCGCTAGTACGAACGGTGGAAGTCACGACCCCATCTACAACCTCCGACTTCTTGGTTTTCCCCATAATACCTCCTTCAATATCTGTGACCGTGCCGTCGACACCCACGAGCCCAGTACGTCCAGCGTGCTGCATCATGAATTCCCCGATTTCTTCGTCCAGGTCGAAGGCCCCACTGTGGAAGTTATTGACCGTTTCCTCCGTTATGTGAGTGTACGCGAGGGAAGGGGCTGCGTGCGATAACCTTGGATTGGTTTGATGGAGGGTAACAGGTGCTTGAACTGCAACGTCGCGAGAATTGGCAGGACTCCCGGCTCTCCGTAGACAAAACCATCGGCTGAAGTCACAACACTTCCAACGCGGTTGTGGGGGATCATTGGGACGGTCGCCACCGGGCCTGGAAAGAGACCGTGGTTTCCGAGCGACCAACCAGAAACCAAGTAGCAGTAATGCGAAGCAGACTGTAAGTGGAAAGCATAAGTTGGTTGTCAAGGAATGCGAAACGTTGCGTCATGGGACATTGGAAGAATTTGGAGTATAGGAGATCTAGAGGCCACAGAGCATTCCGAATCACCAACATTACTACTTGTGACGCGAACAGATGATCGTTCTCGACACAAGCGACCCATTCCCAGCTGGGAAAGCCACAGAATTACGAGGAACCACCGATGCAACGACACAGAAAGGACCCAAGGAAAGAGCGAAGTTTGGGGGGGCCAATGCAGGGAACGGAGGAGAGACAACGTACCTATCGCCCCTACAATAGCGATGACTGTCCTCGGCTGCATCTCTCCACCTTCACTGCCTTGAACTGCAGTCTCATGATCTTCGCGCGTACCTCGCCTGTTTACGATGTACTCTGAGCTATGAGCAGCGCAAACGCAACTTTCGATGACATACCAAGAGAAAAGTGGGGCCATAAAGTTCCCAGTAATGTGATGGAGGAACAGTCGCGGCGAGAGGATATTCAGAGATGTGAAGGAAGGTGATGGGATGCAAACGGCTCGAGAGTGTCATCCTTCGAATGAATACTATATACTCGCACCGCCTCCGAAACGACCCAGATTCCTGCTTCTGGCGAGAATCCAATGACATCAGCGAGAGTCCAGGAAAACGTCGACGATTGGATGCACTGGTGCTGCCCCACAGCAGTCTTACGGAATACTATCGGGGAAAACGGGGAAACACGACCAACGCACGCGAGGTTGTCTATGTCAAGATGGGCGCCAACATCTGGGAGGGTCAAAGGGGGCAGGGCTAGAACAGAGGCAAAACTAGTCGGGCCGCGTCTACAGGATCAGTAATATTCGTATCGTGGGGAATAGATGGGACGAAACGTTAGGGTTGCTGGTAGGGAAGTAGAAAGCGTTTTTCATGGAGTGGTGCACCACGGTAGGTCCAATGACGAACTCTGTCGAAACAACTCACCACAGGTCCACAAAAAAAGTTCGAAGAAACCTATGAAACACTTCAGATTTCCGCAGCTTAATGACAGAGAAACGTGTGTTGTGTGGATAGCCATAGCAGCAGATCCTGCAGAGAAGGCCTCTTATGAGACAAAGTTCAGCGCTCAGCCTGCGTGCAACCACGTTGCAAGCCAAACTACCAGTCCCGCGGCCAGACGGTACTCAGAAAGCTTGCCTCATGGCTATCAGACTAGCTGCGGGCAGTGTGCATGGTCGATCACCAATCGTTGCAACATTGGGGCCATTACATAAGCGACGCCGCAGAGTCCTCCAGCCTGGAACGCGTGTGGACCTGCCATGTATCTTTTATTGGCTGGGCTAGGCTCTCTGGCCACCGTTCTTGCCTACGTCGCCTACACGGAGTCTATTTGGTCAAAATCACTACGAACTCGCCAAGCTGTACTTGACCAACTCGGCCTTGTTCAGCGCGCGGAATCCAAAATTTACAGATTCGTTGGATTCTTTCATCCATACTGGTGAGTTCCTGCCGGATCCGCTTGCCAAGGAGGTTTGACCTCCACGCCGTACAACTAATGAGATTTTCCAAGCAATGCAGGTGGAGGAGGAGAGCGGGTCTTGTGGACCGCCATTGCACACATCCAACGAGAGCACAGGGATATCGTATCTGTCGTGTATTCCGGTGACACGGATGCGTCGAAAACGGACATCATAAATAAAGTAAAGGTGAACAATCACGTCAATTGGCGATCCTGAGCCTTGCTAGACATTGACACACCTGCAGGCTCGCTTTGCCATTGACTTGGAACCATCGACTTTACATTTCGTCTATCTGAAGTCAAGATATCTGGTGGAAGATTCGAGATGGCCACGGTTCACCATCCTTGGTCAGAGCTTGGGCTCCATCTACCTCGCTTGGGAGGCTATGTGCGAATTCGTCCCAGACCTATACATCGGTGAGGTGGATGCTATGTTGCCATTTCACCAAGCTCAACGGACCGTACTGGTTTCCTTTTCAGATACCATGGGCTATGCATTCACATTCCCCGCCGTAACTTGGCTTACTCGTGGTGCCGTCCCAATCGGAGCATATGTCCACTACCCAACCATATCCACTGACATGCTTGCGCGTGTCCCAGCGGAGTCTTGGAAGATGTGGGCCAAACGAGCGTGAGTGCCTCCCATTTTCCTTGTTCCTTGGCCTTATCATTCCGACCCATATTTTGAACAGTTACTACCGCCTTATGATGTACTATTACGCTCTTTCTCTCTCACACGCTCGTTTTCTGATGGTGAACTCCTCGTGGACGCGAAACCATATAGCTTCTATACTATCCCACGAGCATTTCGGGCCCACGATGTGTTGGGCGTCCCGTCTCACACCTCTTCTGGCCGTCGAATTAGCTCTTTCATCAAGGGCTCTGCGGACGACAATGCTCGTTGTGGGTAGTTATCCTACAGCAGGTAGCCCGGCTATCCAGACTGTCCAGACCGTAGAGCCTGAAATTGTATATCCACCCTGTGACATGCGGGAGATGGTCAAGTTCCGTTTGGATAATAGAGAGCCTACAATTCTCAGCGTGGCGCAATTTCGGTGCGTCGTCCCGTCGACCCTAGACCTGCCGAATGGAGCACTGAATTGTAATAACACAGCCCGGAGAAAGACCATGCAGCCCAACTTCGAGCATTCGCACAACTTTTAATGGATCATCCCGAGTACAAATGCTCCCCTACAAGTAAAGTGCACCTCGTGCTTCTTGGTGGCGCTCGCAATGCGGGTGATTTAGCCAGGGTGGGAAAACTCCGCTCATTGGCAAGCGAATTCGATATCCTCGTAGGTTCCCCAATTTCATATTGGAAGCCACATGAAACATATGATTTGACGCGTGTACTGACCTCGTGGTTCTCCCGCTGTAGAATCATGTTACCTTCGTTGTCAATGCTTCTTACCCAGAGGTCCTAAAATGGCTGTCCCGTTCCAGCATCGGGCTTAGCACAATGGTGGACGAACATTTTGGCATCAATATTGTTGAATTCATGGTATTTTCTTATCTCCGCGTTCTCGTGGTATCTGTGCGCAAAGCTCAAGACACTTTCGTTGATATCCAGGCTGCCGGTTTGATCCCGTTGGTACACGCGTCTGGAGGTCCTTTGCATGACATAGTGGTACCCTACCAATTAGGGCCCACGGGCTTTCACGCCAAAGCCCCCGGAGAGTTCGCGACTGCCATGCACGAGGTCAGGTGATCAGGTTGCCTTCGCTTGTTACTTACCTGATGGATGTTTAGATCCTGACGTTGGATCCGGTACAAACGACGACCCTTCGCGAGAGGGCGCGGAGATGGGCAACCGAGAGGTTTTCCGAGGAGGAGTTCGTGAAAGGGTGGGAGAAGAGTGGGTGGAGAAGTCACATACCCTAGGAAAGGATGTGCTACATACATCGGTAGGCATCAGACGAACACTTGGCGAGTGAAGTGGATGGTGGTGACTAGTGCTAGCTAGGGACGTTAACTTACCCGCAGCTCACACTATGAAGTGGGGCAGGATGGAGTGGTGACAGTGTTTATACATAGTACACAGGGACGTCGACTTGCCTGAGGCTCGTGGGGGACACAGGTGGTGAATCGACATGAGGCATTAAGGTTACCTAGTTTCACTCGCACGTTTGCAGAAAGTCTCGTCCTTGTCATCTTCGGCCCTGCCAGGTACTAGTCATCCTCGAAAACTGACCAAATCACAATGGAGCTAGTAGTGTACTAGAGCCTCTTGGCTCGCGGGAGCTCCACAAGTTACTGATATTTGACCACAAAAGGGCCGCGGTGAGCCCGCTGTCCCTATGTGCGTGCCCTCGGCAATCAAGGTGTCCTCCCCGAGGACCCGGGCACCATTGGGTTGGCACAAACCATACTTACTGGTAAGTAGACATGAGACGCTCGCTAAACATCGTTTAAGTATAGCTTTTAATTGCCCAGGCCGCAATCTAGGCTAATCCATACTTGCCTGCCACATCGATCATCTCCCTTCGTCCGACAGACCGACCTCCAAGCGGGCCATCAGCATCATAATCATATCTGTCAAATATAGGTGAGCTTCCATACATAACATCCATCCTGCTGGCACGCCATCAATCATATCTCCAAACCTTTTCCAAATGGATTCTTCCAGATTCTTCCGCAACAGAAAAGAAACATGTAAACGGTAAGGGCTTAATTAGGGCCGTTTCCCGAGCTCACTTAGGATGAGGGCAGCTTGAGAAAAGGACCACTTCACATGATCAGTGATCTTGAGACTATTTCATAGACGCCTGAAATGTCACCCAACTGGAATGTTAACTGAACGTTCCGTCCTCCCGGGTCCGGGTGCTCAAACTTGGCTCTACTTATAATTCAAGCCCTGCCAAAGTGCACTGCTTTAGTGCGCACCCGTTTCCTCCCCAGATCGACGAAATTTTTTTCTCCGCAAGGTGCGTTTTTTTGTGTCGTCTGCGCAATCCAGTCGCTCCATTCCACTAGTCGCAGTGATTGTTTCCCTTTTCTCTCTCCTTTGCTGATGCATACTCGGAAGTCGGTGGTGCGCACTGCCAGATCTCCGACGTCTGACGATGTCGACAAACTAAGGTCTGAGCTCGCTCGGCTGAAGGAGAAAGAAATGGTGCTCCTCCAGGAACTTCGGGAGATCCGAGCTGCTGCGGAGCAGGTCCAAGTGGAGCTGGATGAGCTCATTCAAAAAAGCTCGGGAGCCCTCATTCAAAAGCTTCCCAACGAAATTCTAGTTACCATACTGGAACACGCGACATCTTACCATTGCTCGACATGCGTAGATCCGTGCTGGAAGTGGCTCGGCGTGTGTCGGCGCTGGAAGAACGTAATAACCCACACGGCCAGCTTGTGGACCCATGTCAATATTACGCCTAGGTGGACGCAAACGATGGTCAGACGCCACCTCACCCAGAGTCGTGACATACCCTTGAACATTACCATCCGGCCTTTGCTCATGCGGGAACGATGGTACGGGATGCTCGGCCCACGCCGGCATCTTCTATCCCTGATTGTTCCTCTAGCAGAGCATGCGTGGCGTTGGCGCAGCCTCGATATCCGAGGATTCCCCCCATCTACGTTGCAGGTCATGCTCGCTCAGTTCGACTCCGTGTCTTACTCTCCGGTGGAACGCATTCATATTCGGTCGGATGAACGTGAGACGGGTACTCTCCCTTGGCCAAACTGGATCTCGCCGGACACTTGTCCAAGACTGACCTACCTTCATCTCGGCGCATTCCGGATTCCGGACGTCGTCCCTGCATTCCAACTGACCTCGCTTCGCGCTCATCACGGATAACACGCAATGGTCTCCAAGTGTACCCTCGCTGCCGTTCGCGCTGCGGAGCATCTTACAGGAATCATTCGAGCTCACCAGTCTGACCCTGTATGGAACGGGGAGAAGTTTCAGAGACCTGAGTTTGGCTCCGGATAGCATTCACATGCCCTCGCTGCACTACGCTCAACTTGTATCCACGCGACGTCGAGATGCCGGGTTTAGAGAGTATCTTGATGGCTATGGTTGCCCCTGAGTTACGTCATTTAAACTATGTCCCGCGTTGGCACATGGACACGTTGACGCCTCCCGTGTTTTATGGCACCGATGGCGCCCCCAGGTTTCCCCGCGTGACCGACCTTCGCATCAGGAATGCTGTCAACGGGAGACATGACATGACATCCCTTATCACTGCTTTCCCCATGGTACAAAATGCTGCACTCGGTGGAGCGGAGGTGACTGCGTTTTTGTGTCACAACGGGTCTCATCGACCAGTTGACTGTTGGCGGAACCTCGAGAGTGTCACCGTCATCGAGCCTGAGACGAGTATCATGGAGGATTTACTCCGATGGCTTACGGAACGAAATCGCAAAAACAAGACCATGTTGCGCGTCTCGCTGGAGGAGCTAGCTAATAGCAGCGAGTTTCTGGAGTTCCATGAATGTCTGATGCGGTACGCGATCGTGGAACTCAAGGATCCCCAAATCAGAATAGGGAGAACCAATTTTCCTATATCTCCTTCGCTTCGAGCGGTGCGTTACTCGTGGTGCGTTAGCATGCAGTGGGCTTATCATGTGTTACTCGCATCATTGCAGAAGCTCTCTAGATATACGCCGGGAATGGTCAGGGCGATCGGTGGTGTACTCCGCGACGAGTATACCTTGTGTGAACCGGATAACGAAAGTGCCACCCTACTCCAACCCACGTAGTCACTGTATGTTAAGTAGTATTTTCAGGGTGTCGCCGGGATATTTTTCATATGTAACAAGCACCATCATTTAGTCTGTATTCTGTTGTCTTGGTCAAAATTCGTTTCTTGTAGTGGCTGCGTTGGAAAGTTCGGGAAACCGACCCAACTTGGAGGGGTTTCACTCCTCTCTCTTGCCTTTAAGAAAGCGGGCCTTCACCAATAAATTGTCTTATTAAGCCGGCCAAGTCAACTACGAAAAGACGCCCTATTTGGTTTTCCTCGGTCTTGGAAGCACGGGAACTGTAAAACGCACGTGGGCATCAGTGGCAGAGCGCCCGCCGACCAGTATTACGCCAACGATTAGTTCCGACTCATCACCTCGATCCAATTCGCCGACGGACGCACTCGGGAGGAACATACTGAATGGCAAGCAAGACCAAATTGAAGCAAGTAAAGACTACGCTGAGATGTGCTAGTCACTTGTACTTCCGCCTTCTATGATCGTCTCGCCATCATCTGAGAATTTCACATTTTTCTTTGACGGAGGTTGTTGACCCAAGTGGTATCATTAACTGGTTTAAATGACTCACCGGATCGGTCGCGGACTTGCCGATGTATTTGGTGTGAGCTGAATACGGGGTCAAAGGGATGTGATCGCCGCTGAAACAGCAAATAACGTACTCCCATATGCGACAAGTTCACCGTCGGCGTTCGTGAAATCAATGCGGGTATAAGCCACTTGCCGTCCTAACGGACATCTCGTCATGTGAGGACACGGATTGAAAGCCCCCGAATTTGACTGACCTAACGAGGTGAGTGTTGCTTTTCCAAATAGCGTATCACCAGCTTTTCCCGCTGGGCGAACAAACGATGTACACACATCCGTGGAGACGCCAGTCATGAAATGTCCCCTGGATGCGACGGCGAGAGAGCCAAGTGTGTCGGTGAGTGATAGCAGAAGCCCACCGTGAGCGGTCTATGCGCTATTTTCGACATGACATTCAGTAACATGCACGGAGATAACCCACCCCGACACGGTTCACTGTGAAAGTGACAGGAGAGTCAGTCATTGCACTATACCGCGTCGCGTGAACAATACGGACGATTGGAAGGCTGGATCTTGAGCGCCGTTTCGACAACGCCTGGTTTAGCACGTAGAATTTGGAGCTGCGTGCGATTATTAGTTGAAGCACCCCAAATAGCATCGCGTTGAAATGTTTACATGGGGAAAACACTGTGCATCATGTCCTTTCTTACTCTGTTATATGAGCACACTCGACGTAGCGGAGGCGGGACTCACCCTTTGTATCTATGAATGACTTCCAGACCTACAGCAAATGTAATTCTGATCAGGCTCAGTCCATAAGTGCACTCACTCGTTGGGTGAATTTCATGCACGCCGCCATGGTTTGTCTTTACTTTTGAGGAGGCCTTGCCAAACTCGGCAGAGCGTCGGCAAGCCACAAATTCGATCTCCGCCCGGAGTGGCCCGATTAGTACCGCGCTGTGTTGTCGGTTTCGAACCGTCCAACTAGCAAACCGGCGTTCTTTGTTTTTCTGTCCGCGAGCACCACCGAACAAGAAAAAAAATGTCTGACTTGTGTCCTGTGTACGCACCGTTCTTTGGTGCAATGGTATGTGGCATCTTTGCATGGCTTTGAATCGTTGTGAACGCCGCGAACAGGGCTGCACCTGCGCAATTGTATTTACCTGTGAGTAGCCTTGGTTGACATGACGGACTTGCTCTTGTCTTACACCCATACCGCTCACCAGGCATCGGTGCAAGGTACGCTGGAAACTGAATCAGACGCTCCTTCTGTGCGTATGTTGACCGGTGTGCAGTTATGGTACCGCTAAGTCTGGTGTCGGTATCTCCGCTATGGGTGTCCTCCGGCCTGACCTCATCATGAAATGTTCCGTCCCCGTTATCATGGCCGGTATCATTGCTGTGCGTCCCTCGTTGGTATTACTTGCCATATCTCACTCACCCGTGACTAGATTTACGGCCTTGTCGTTTCGGTGATCATTTCCGGCACACGTATGTGTAGATCCCGCCGTGGCTTTGGGGTTGTTGGCTGAAATTGAGTCTCTAGTGGGAGTTTCGATGCCCCTCGCACAGGGCTTCATTGACCTCGGTGCGGGTCTGTCCGTGGGTCTTTCAGGTCTTGCAGCCGGTTTTGCCATTGGTATCGTTGGTGATGCTGGCGTGAGAGGTACCGCACAGCAACCCCGACTGTTCGTTGGCATGGTGTGTTTGCTATGTGCCGCACGCCCGACCACCACTCATTTTTTGACAGATCTTGATTCTTATCTTCGCGGAAGTTTTGGGTTTGTACGGTATGTGGTGTGGTCCTTACTTTGTCGACCAGCAGTGACATGACGTCCTCGATAGGCTTGATTGTAGCGCTTATCATGCATACCAAGGCAGGAGAACTAGTCGGACTAGTGAGTGTTACACGGTGTTTGCGTTGTTTCTCCGCTGCTGACGTGTCGCGTCCCACCAGTGTTCTTGAGTTTCCCAGCGAAGAGTGGCTGTGGACAGTGCTAAATACTATACTTGATTGCCTCTCTTTGACCTGACATCTCTGCCTCGTAATGATCATGAATTAGCCATCTACTGTGTGCATTTCTCTGAGATGATGCTGAGCCGGAAGTAGACGTAGAATGGAATGTTGTCCTTAGTCGACGTGTCAGATCCAATATCCGTTGTTTCCACATGTAAACATTCCACTGACTTACGTCCGCTTTACACTTCAACTTGACCTCCTAGCCTCGGCGTCGGTGATGCTTTCGTGGTTGCTGACGTTGCTTGCACTGGCGTTCGTGGCCACGCTTGCCGTGTCCCAAGTTACGGTGTCGACCAACGATCCATTCCGTGCCATCGTTATCAAACACCGCGCACTCCATCCTGAGCCGCCTTTGTGCTGTCTAAAGCCTTTACCCTCTGCAGACCCACCAGAAGGTCCAGAAGATATCTTACTGTCGTTTGAAGAATGGAAGTCTAAACAGCTTCACGCTCACTCGCAGACAGCGTCCCAGGCAACCACAACAGAGGCATCCGAGAGAACTACATCTGACACTTCTCGAGATACCGAGACGCCGTCGCCCGTAGACACGCATGCGACCGCCCCAGAACCCTCTTTCCCGCAGGACAGCTTACCACCTCATTTTAGGGTGCCAATCACGGACAGGTTCAACTTTGCCAACATGGACTGCTCTGCCCGAGTACACATGGCACATCGGTCAGCCAAATCCGCGTCTTCCATTCTTTCGGAGAAGAAGGACAAGTACATGCTTTCCCCGTGTACATCGAAAAATGGGGGGGACCAATTCGTGGTGGTCGAATTGTGTGACGACATCCGGATAGATACCGTGCAACTTGCCAACTTCGAGTTCTTCAGTGGGGTGTTCAAGGATTTTACCGTTCGAGTGGCCAAGACTTACCCCGCGACGGATGACGGATGGACATTTGCTGGAACGTACCGCGGCAAGAACATCAGGGGCGTACAGGTATTGTGTTCAGTCGGTGTCTTGCCTCACTCGTAGTACTCATCCTCTGACAGTCATTCCATCCACCTACTTCGTTGCGTGACTTCTATCGGTATATCCGAATCGACTTCCATTCATATTACGGGCACGAATACTACTGTCCTATCTCTCTTCTGCGCGTGTACGGTCTGACTCACCTGGAGCAATGGAAGTGGGTTATGTGGGAAGCAGAGAGTCGTGCACGACTGGAGGAACAAGGGCTTTTGATCGCCGAAGTTACTCCTGCTAGTTCGAACTCGATACAGCGACCTCCCACCGACATGAATACGTTCGTGGACATACTCGAGTCGGGTTCTGTGAATGCGAGTGAAATCATGAGCGGCGGAAATTTCTCGTCCCCCCAGGAAGGTGGTGTGATGGGCTTGTCCAACAGCTCCTCCACCATGCAAGCTCCACACGGCGGGACATCTCCTACATCTTCAGCAACCCCTCCCGCTGCTCATGGGTCCCCAGAATCCACCCCTTTAGGCGAGTATTCACAGGCAACATCGCATGTCATGTCTTCTTCCTTGGCCGAAGTCATCTCGTCCATAGCATCTATGATGTCCCACGAGACCCCATTCGCAACGTCACTCAATCAACCTACTAGCGAGCATATAAGTACGCGTGTTTCGGAGTCGCAATCATCGCGCACACTCTCAACGCATGCCTCTGTAACGCCCGCTGCGTCTAATTCGCGTTCATATACCAGCGTACACTCTCCCGCTCCTAGCGGCGAGTCCATATTTGGTACTATCATGAACAAGTTAACCGCGCTAGAGGCAAACCATACGTTATACGCACGATATGTGGAGGAACAGATTACCGGAGTGAGGGAGGTACTCAGGAAGTTGGGGGAGGAAGTGGGGAGATTAGAAAGCATTGTCGGTGGCTCCCAATACCTAGGGTATGGTAACCGCTCACTCCGCTTTTCGCATTTTTTAGGAGCAAATGCAATCCCAGATGTATCTGCGCACAGTACAGGAGTGGGAAAGGCAGAGACTGCGGCTGGAGCTCGAGCATAGCGAGCTGCTCTCGCGAGTCAATCATCTGGCTGATGAGGTAGGGGCGCTATTTGACTCGACGTGACTTTCTAGTGATGACGCCGGCTATAGGTTGTCCTTGAAAAGCGTCTCGGAATTGCACAACTGTGTCTGCTCCTGGCAGTGCTTGTGTTCATGGGATTCACGAGAGGTGCTCCGTACGTCGAGCAATCTCAGGCGGACTTCAACCGCTCCGCCCGCCAGTGGGGTACGCGGCCGCTAAGTCTCGGAAGCAACAAGGAACTTAGAGGGTGGAATCCCCTGAGACTGAGAAGTCTCAGTCCGACCGTGCAACGCAATGGCGCCGAGAAGATGCCGAGTGCGTCTATTCTCTTTGGCAGACGCCTTTGGACTCATCTGACGACAGGTTCGGAGGCACGGATGGCGTTCCCTTCCTCAACATCCCAAAGACAACCTTCGTTCATTGACTTGACCCCTCGTCATCTCCCAAGGGAATCTGTATCTTCGTCCACGAGTTCCCTGCACAAACATTTTCACGGACACCATTCAACTCGAACGCCAACACGACATAGGCAAGTGCTTTCTGTCGACCCGCGTTCGATTCCACAAGTTTTACCCATTGCCAAATCCAATTCATCCACCGCCTCTCCCCACCCAACCCCTCGATCAACTAAGCGGTTAGCACGTACTGCACACCTTCACGAAGTCAAGCTGTTCCGTCACAGGCGCGGCAGCGGGGCGGGAATCACGAGACGACTGGAACGACGAGGCAATGAAGAAAATGAACATGATGACGATGTGTTTCGTGTCGGCACTCCACCTTCATCTCAACCAAATACATCTCATCTTGGGCGCCGCGGCCCGTTCCGCCCGTTGTTTCCGACAGTTCGCTCGGAAGACGATAAGGAGACAGACGGATGGATAGATACTGATATGGATGGTTCTGAAGTTACATCTGACACTGCTCCCTATGACAGCACTTAGGCTGCACTAGACGTCATACCGTTTTCCTTATGGGTTAGTTTGATTTTCTAGTATGATACCTTGCTTTCTGTTTGCTGCACTGCCAATCTCATTCCAGTATACGATTCCAGTGACCAATGACAATGCGCCTGAGAACATCTTCGCCTGGCACTGTCGCAAGCATAATGTGAGTTGATCGGAGAGGGGAAGCTTTTACACCAATGTTGTCATGCCTGACGTTCGCAAGATCGTCAGTAGAATATCGAACTATGACACCTTTACCAACTTCACTGAAGTTCCAAGTTTGCAATCGGACTTGTCATAGCAGCTCAAATCTCCGAATGCATTCCTTCCAAGCACACGTGAGGATAGGTAGTAGACCTTAATCCCTGGCATCGTCACCCCGAAACCAATTCCTGACCATCCATTACAACGGCCCCCGTAATCTTTAGCATTGTGAACGACGCAACGGCCAACTCACCTCCGAACAAGCTACCGAGTAGAGCGACCACATGAGAGGTATAAAAGGGTTGGCGAGGCAGCATCAGAACCAACCAAGTCAGTATCCTTGGAACGGCTTCACCGTGTGTTTCGCTCTGCTTTCTCCCCTCGTTGCACCCCTCGACACTGTTGTCGCCGGCGCCGCGATCAATCCAGGAACTTACGGTCTCAGTAAACTCACACACAGGCAAGGCGAAACGTGCAAACCCCCAATGACCATTGTTGCTTTGATGCGCAATCTCTACGATGCTATGAAGGTACATGCGTACCTAAAGACGGCAGCTTATGTAAGTGATTGCAATTCGGACTCCGTCATCGGGAGGTATCCTGTAAGTCTCCAAGTGAAGAAAAGTGTATTGCATCGAGCTTACGGTGTGCTGCTTAAATGATAGTCCCTAGCTCCTTGTGAATGGGTTACCCACGTTAATAATTATGTGTGCAGTTCAGATGGGCCAAACACGATCCGAGCTGTCGGTCCGGGGTAACACCAGATTGTTGACTTGACTGTCGGGAACACATTTTCTAACAAGATATATCACTGTGTTCAGTGAACTGAGTGAACCATTTACCAACAAAGTACGAGCCCTAGGCCAGCGAACCTGCAACAGAGATTATCTCATTACAGTCCCACCGCTTCTCAGCTCACGAGCTCATTCACCCGTCAAGAGGGGGGGGGTTAGAATCCAAGTGAGATGCAGGCGAATACACTGTAGGACTCCACTGAAACAATCAATATGGAACTTTTCTGCCAGTGGAAAACTTGTCGGGACGTGGGCATACCTCTACTTGCCATCAAACAGGAGTCCATATTCCTTCACCGCACGCCACTGGGCCCAACAAGGCTGAACGTTGGCAGTCTCAAGATCGATGTGAGTGCTTTTGAAAGGTAAGGCTCCGCAAAATATCTTCGAACTACAAGTACACAGTAGCGAACTTTCTTCTGACTTTCGTACATGGTGTGTAAATAGGGCTTGAAGATGACTCTGACAGTCCACTGTCATCTCACTACGCAACTAGTAACAAATGTCGCCTGAAATCTACACCAAGATGGGTCCAGGTCAGTAGGCTGCATACTATGAGAGGGTGGCATTAACTGGAAACCGACCTCGCAGTATGAGAAGCCAGTAGTGTCGACGCAACATAACAACCCGGGACAGCATAGCCCATTCTCATAAGCCAGGGAGCAGGGTTCGTTGAACGTGTAACATTGTTCTTGCCTCTTTGCCAGACCGTCGAGCCCAGCGTTGTTGGAGTTAACAGCAGCGGCGACGACGCCATGGACGAATGGAGCAACAAAGAGGGTGAGCAAAGTGAGACGCATGGTTGACTGAAGTACGAGTCACAGGGTACGTTGGGCGAGCTGTATCACCGAGCCGGGGAGGGGGACTGGCTGGAACGAGTCCTGACGAGTTCTGTCAGTCCTTCCTTCGACCAATTTATACCTTTAGTCTCTTCAGTTTGTTTGGCACCATAAGTTCATATTAAGACAATTTGTGCGCTGCAAGCAGGCAACCATATTCAAATCGAGTGTAGTTCATATCGATAGACCAGAACTGACCAACACTGCCTGTATTTAGTTTTGGAATAACGAATGGCTTACTCATTTCAGCAATTATCGGGCAGGGGAGCTTGATCATGATGACTTACTGTAGTGCTTCAAGCCAACTTCAACTGCCCAATAACAGCAACGACCGCTACTCATATGCTTTCCGCTGGCAAGAACTACTTACCTGTAGTCTGTCGATACATAGTAGGCAGTAGTAGACCATCCCAGTAATACGAGCAAGGGATGGTGTATGCCCGGTAATACACATATGACAATAGTATGATGGCACGCATCATTGTTTGACAACACTCCCAAAGTAAATAAAAGCCCCTTGTTTGAGTTTTGGTCAACCTTTTAGTCTCTAACCAGATGTGCGGGTCGTACCTTCATAGTCTCCGGTATGGGAAGCTGGATACGGTCACGCTCAGGAAGGCAGTGGGCGAGGCGCCCGCACATGCATGGTTTGAAAACCTAACTCATCAGCCCGGTCGGACCGAACCCAGGACCTCATCTTCCGCGAATCAGAGAAGTTTGAATCTAGTGCACCGGTAAATTTGAAGAGTTAAGTCACCTTGGTTAATTCACGGTGAATTTTTCCTAATGCTCTTTGACGAGGGTGAATTTGGGTGCTATTGAGCTGAAGTACTTGGGGTCCGTTACCTTGGTTTTCGTTTTTCGTTTTCGTCATTTTGGCATTCGGCCCGTTAGAGTACCATTGCTCAGTGACATTTGACAGCCGGGCTGTGGTGGTATTTTGGTGCGTCAGAGTGCTGCTACCGTCTGCGTGGGGTGAAGTGGTGCAGTGCTTCTGCTGGTGCCAACGGTGCATTAATTGATGCATACAGCCAATCACGTGGCCTCCGCACCCCGCGCGTAATTACGTAATCCACCACCGCGTCCAAACATCGTCCAGATTTGGTAAATGTCTGAACTAACCATATTCCCGTCCTTGCCCCAGGAATGCGAATGCAATGATGAGCGGCGGAAATTTCTCGTCCGGCCAGGAAGGTGGTGTGATGGGCTTGTCCAACAGCTCCTCCACCGTGCAGGCTCCACACGGCGGGACATCTCCTACATCTTCAGCAACCCCTCCCGCTGCTCATGGGTCTCCAGAATCCATCCCCTTAGGCGAGTATTCACAGGCAACATCGCATGTCATGTCCTCTTCCTTGGCCGAAGTCATCTCGTCCATAGCATCTATGATGTCCCACGAGACCCCATTCGCGACCTCACACAATCAACCCACGAGCGAGCATATAAGTACGCGTGTTTCGGAGTCGCAATCACCCCGCACACTCTCAACGCATGTCTCTGTAACCTCCGCTGTGTCTAATTCGCGTTCATATACCAGCGTACACTCTCCCGCTCCTAGCGGCGAGTCCATATTTGGTACTATCATGAACAAATTGACCGCGCTAGAGGCAAACCATACGTTATACGCACGATATGTGGAGGAACAGATCACCGGAGCGAGGGAGGTGCTGAGGAAGTTGGGGGAGGAAGTGGGGAGATTAGAAAGCATTGTCGGTGGCTCCCAATACCTAGGGTATGGTATCCGCTCACTCCGCTTTTCGTTTTTTTTTTTAGGAGCAAATGCAATCCCAGATGTATCTGCGCACAGTACAGGAGTGGGCAAGGTAGAGACTGCGGCTGGAGCTCGAGCATAGCGAGCTGCTCTCGCGAGTCAATCATCTGGCTGATGAGGTAGGGGCGCTATTTGACTCGACGTGACTTTCTAGTGATGACGCCGGCTATAGGTTGTCCTTGAAAAGCGTCTCGGAATTGCACAACTATGTCTGCTCCTAGCAGTACTTGTGTTCATGGGATTCACGAGAGGTGCTCCGTACGTCGAGCAATCTCAGGCGGACTTCAACCGCTCCGCCCGCCAGTGGGGTACGCGGCCGCTAGGTCTCGGGAGCAACAAGGAACTTGGAGGATGGAATCCTCTGAGACTGAGAAGTCTCAGTCCGACCGTGCAACGCAATGGCGCTGAGAAGATGCCGGGTGTGTCTATTCTCCTTGGCAGACGCCTTTGGACTCATCTGACGACAGGTTCGGAGGCACGGATGGCGTTCCCTTCCTCAACATCCCAAAGACAACCTTCGTTTATTGACTTGACTCCTCGTCATCTCCCAAGGGAATCTGTGCCTTCGTCCACGAGTTCCCTGCACAAACATTTTCACGGACACCATTCAACTCGAACGCCAACACGACATAGGCAAGTGCTTTCTGTCGACCCGCGTTCGATTCCACAAGTTTTACCCATTGCCAAATCCAATTCATCCACCGCCTCTCCCCACCCAACTCCTCGATCAACTAAGCGGTTAGCACGTACTGCACACCTTCACGAAGTCAAGCTGTTCCGTCACAGACGCGGCAGCGGGGCGGGAATCGCAAGATGGCTGGAACGACGAGGCAATGAAGAAAATGAACATAACGACGATGTGTTTCGTGTCGGCCCCCCACCTTCATCTCAACCAGATAGGTCTCATGGTAGGCGCCGTGGCCCGTTCCACTCGTTGTTTCCGACAGTTCGCTCGGATGGTGACAAGGAGACAGACAGATGGATAGATACTGATATAGATGGTTCTGAAGTTACATCTGACACTGCTCCCTATGACAGCACTTAGTCTGCGCTGGACGTCATACCGTTTTTCTTATGGGTTAGTTTGATTTTCTAGTATGATACCCTATTTTCTGTTTGCTGCACTGCCCATCTTATTTCAGTATACGATTCCAGTGACCAATGACAATGCGCCTGAGCACATCTTGCAGTTTGTTAGCCCGACACTGTCCCAGATTCTGGAAGCACAAGTGGTAGAAGGGAGGTTTTTGGACTTGTGTCTGTTTGCGTGGTACTTGCCGCACCGCAGTGATGCAAAAGCCCAGCATTGCCGTGCCAGATTCCGGCTGTTGCCCAACGACAACTTGTTGCAAATCACTACAACACCTCCACGACCTATCCGTCTTTGACATTGACCAGTTTTTGGACAACTGCACGATCGTCTGTAGAATATTGAATACCGCCACCTTTCCCAACTCCTCTGAGGTGCGAGGTTTGGAATCGGGTACAGACAAGGCAAAACGAAGAAATCTTATTCAACATGTTATGTATGCACATACCATTGCTGGCAAGCACTCGTGAGGACAGAGGTAGACCCCGATCCCCGGTGTTGTTAGTTCACCCAGAAACTCTGGGCACCTCGTAACTTTACTGTTGGCTGGAAGGTAATGATGCCCGTCGTCTCGGAGGGGCGTTTATGCTATCTCCATCGCCCCGCAAAAACCGGAGGGATGCTTTAGCAGCCTTCCCTTCAAAGCCGTGAGGTGTTGTGAAAGTCGCATTGCGGACAACGAGAGAAAGAAGGTGCGAGGGGGGGCTGCATGGTTGCATCCGTTACCAATCTCTCTCTTGGGGGACAGTTGTGTCTTAAGAAGGGATGATATGAATGTGAAGGCTCGCACAGTGCAGATGAATTTTCTAAATGGGCATAGCTTACCTTAGGCCCGGGCTATACCCGACCTGTAAGCTACCGGTATCCTGGAAACCGACAAGCGTACATATGAGAATCAGAAAATTCTGGGCGCTGTGAGGTCCATGTCTCGTCTCCATTAATAAAAGCGACTCAGGCGCCTGTTGGATGTTTTGCAACAGCGTTTAATGTGACGCCCAGCACTTGGGAATGAATTCGATGAGAAATGATCAAGCGGCGACTGGAGTTGAACACGAATCATTGAAGCTGTGGTGGCAATGGATAGGTATATAGTAATGCTGCCAGATCTCGAGATGATGTTTCGATCAATCGAAGCCTTCGCCTCCCTAATTGTGACCTCATGGCCGGGCTAACGTACGGGTCGAAATCAGAAAATATGCTTTTTCTATTTGGGCCGACGATTTCCATTCGCCTTATCCCCTACAATGAGACTTACTTACCTGTATCTCTCACACAGTGCGCATGTATGGTCAAGGGAAATGACACGTTTCTCCACCGGTAGCAGACTCCAAATGGCACTCGCCAGTCCTTCGACGTGCCACGATCTCAGTATTGCTCTACTGCAATACTTCTAAGTAGTATCATGCACACTCGGGTTGTATTATCCGCGATATATTTGAGCATTCACGGATTCGATCATGGGCACCTATTCGGAGGTTGCTCAGCAAGCTCAGGTAAGCTCCTGTTTAAACGACAGCTTACTATTCGTCGCGTAAATGTGAGACGTAATTTCACTGTTTCGTGGCACGCGTACTTACCTAGGTAGCCGTTGACGAGGCTTCCACAATGCGTTCGACTGGATCAAACATGACTGTTTGCCGACAGAAAGCAATTCCCGCCCATCCATTAAAACGGTCTAGGCGATTTTTAGTATCGCGAACGATACAATAGCCAACTCACCCCCGAACAAGCCACCGAGAAAAGCAACTACCTGAGAGGTATAAAAGGATCTGCGAGGCAGCGTCACAAGCCAGCAAAGTCAGCATCTTTTGAACGGCTTTACCATGCGCCTCGCTCTGCTTTCCCTGCTCGTTGCACCTCTCCTCACTGTCGTCGCCGGTGCTGCGACCAATACAGCAAATTACGGTCTCAGTAAACTTGCAAAGAGGCAAGACGAAACGTGCAAAGCGGCAGGGGAACATTGTTGCATTGAAGCGGAATGTATGCAATGCTGTGAGGGTACATGCGTACCTAAGGATAGCAGCGGTACTGGTTCGGACGCAATCGTTGGGGAGTGTCCTGTAAGTCTATCAGTCACGCAAAGTGTATTGCATTGAGCTTACAGCGTGCTGCTTTAATGATAGTCCCAGAGCTCTTAGTGAAAAGGTTGAGAGGAGACGCCCTAGATGGTTCAAGCTAAACCCACCCAGAGGTGCTGGCTTGGATGTAATACCAGATTGTTGACTGTCGGGGACAGGTTTTCTATGTAAAAAGATATTACTGTATTTTGTTGACCAACCAATTACAACATCTACAAAACGTTTAGTCTCTTCGAGCACTTAGCATTTGCCGAGTTGAGTGACAGTACTTGCTGAGCTCTCGAACAATTCAAAGATTGTCCAAAGTGTATGGTGTAATTCGACCGTTTTGCAGATGAAGTCTAACAATCCAGCATAAGTGTTTACCATCAACAAAACCACTCGCATAATATAAGGTCGTAAAACTTACTGCAATGTCCTAAAATTCAGTACAACTGATACATAGTACTGTCTCCGTTATATACAACAATGTATTGCACTATAACAAGCGGCCAAATACAGTGTGGATAAGGGTCGCAACCCATCCATTGGCACATGATATTTTATAGCCATGTATCTCGGTGCCATTCGATGCATTTTAGTATGTTGAATTGTATTCCTCGCCATACTTTATCACACGTTCCACTGGATTTCATATGAATGCAATGACTTCTATTGCATGGTATACATTACATGATGATGCAGTCCACTGAGAGCAAGTTAGAAGCCGACAACGCTAGTACAACATTCAATGCATCCCGAAATGAGCAGCCACGCACCAGTTACAGGAATAAACGATGACAAGGTATAAGAGGGAAGCATTCGAACAACAAAGTAGGGGAAATGAAGGCAGTGTTGGGACTACTTGCGCTTGACACGCTTACGTGGTGGCTCAGCCTTGTTCTTCGAGCGCTGACCAGCACTGCCACCTTGAGATTTCTTCGTGGTCGTAGTGGGCTCTGGAGTGGGGTCCTTTCGTATGGTCTCAGTAGCTTCAGGATCCGTCAGTGGGCTCCCAACGGTCTCGCATTCATTACCTGGGTCATGGTGAAAATTTCTGTGACTGGGCCTAGGCCCTGGAGGTGATCTGGGATGGAAGCTGGTGCGATGGTCAGGTGGATCGAAGTCGTTACGTTGTGGCACTGAATGGGCATCATCTCCCAAGCTTGGTTGGATCTGCAGACCATGGTAAGCCAATGGATTGATCCGAAGCAGAACATTGCAAGTACTGCTACCTTGGCGCTGCTGTTCTTGGGTGGCAGAGTACCTTCATCGTCGCGAGATACATGAACCATGGGTGTGGGAGACATGGTAACCTGAGGCCCATTGCGACTGTCAATTGAGTGCTGCACATGTTCTTCAGTACAACGAGATTGGCGACCCGCAACCGGGGAGTCAAGGAAAGAGTCCATGTCGTCATCCTCTGATGAGTCATCCGAGTTTGCTGCTGAGATTGGTCGCCTTCGCTTGGAAGTTTGGCTGAGGCCAGGCACCTGCCTTCAAATGCGAGTAAACCTAGTTGACCGTGATAACACTCTTCGGATGCAGTACATACTTATTCCACCAGTGAAGCGTCTCTTGGGTCCATGGATGGTCTGGTTGATCTTCCAAGACCTTGACAATCTTGAGAAAGAGTTCGTAAAGGTCAACACCACCAATTGCAGATGTCCACTGCTCGGCGGAGCTGAGCGCAAAGTAGTACTGAGAAACAAGAGTTAGCAGACAGAGAGAATAAGAGCCGTAACTCCATAAGGTGACCTGTATCGCAGCATACGCAATTGTGCGAGGTGTTGGGTCAGGCAGGCCGTGTGCTACACCTTGCGGGGTTTTCGTGCCTCTGCGAGTTGGGTCCAGTGCAGATGATGGACTTGTGAAAATGTGACGAAAGGTCTACCAGTAAAGACTTCAGCCAAGCTCGCACACAATTTTCAAGTTCACATGAATACATACCCGTACTAAACCTTGGCTTCGGAGAAACCCTTTCTTCTTGTTGTTTGGGTCAAACATTTTCACGTCGTAGAGGCAAGCTGGAAACTTGCGATGTGTGATTTTTCGTGTCCCATCGTGAACCTGGTTCATGAATAGTCTGATCATATGCACTGCATGAGCAGAAGGAAACGAAGTTGAGGTAGACATACTGAGCGTTTCTATCAAACTCTTCCAGGTGTACAATTGGGCAGAGGTTCCGTGCAGTAAGAGGATGGTTCCATCCACGGGTTGACTTGGGGTCACCCTTCCGGATTGGTGGCTTCACAGACTGAGTCGTGGGGTCCTCAAGCATATATGTCAGCACGTCCCACTTGAGGCTTCCTGTGTCATTTGTTCGCGACCGAGCAGCAGCAGCAACAAGCTGGATGAAAATTAGTGAGTTTGAGACATGTCAAGTGCATATATGCACCTACCTCATCGATGAAAGTAGAAAGTGAGTCGCGCTCATGTTCAAAGCCTGAAACAAGCTCACTTCCATTATCAATATGCGAGATGAAATTCTGATAAAGTGCGATATGATAGTCTTTCTCATTCTGACTGCCAAATGCAAACAATGTTAGTGCAGTGCGTCACAAGCAGGGCATTAGTCATACGTGTATGCAGTGGAATCCTCATCTGGCTCCTCAAGTGGATCTGGAAACTCATTCTGGATCCCATCCCAGAGCACTCGTTCAAAATCCACAAAGGGGTCCATACTCATAGGGAAGAAAAACGCAGCAGATGTAAATGGTGACATTGCATCTCTGAAAGTCATCAGCTGGGGAGTCCTATGCTCATATAAACACAATGAATGTACCTCTTTTGCCTTGGGTTAGACAGACTATCAAGCAACTTTTGAAAGGAATTGTTGAGCATGACGCCTCCAGGCATGATGGTGATAGGAGAATACGAAATGAGCCGCACTACATGGTGAAGTGGCATTTCAAGCGGAGACTAAATTCACACCCCTGCCTTTACTCCTGGCGCCCACTGCCCTGATTCCACCATTGATTGTATTACATTGCAACAAGTTGCAGTAGATTGTATCTGCATGGTCCATGCTCACGCAGCGTGTGTTCCTTGTATTCTTTGTTATAATGGCTGCTTTTGCATGTGTAGGATGTAATCGTTCATTCAAGAACAGGACTGCCCTTTGTAATCACAAACGAGCCTGTAAATTCAAGATATCACAGGCAGCAAAGTCTATCCTTTCAAGGCGGAAGGAGGGACGTACTGCCCATCAAGCAAACCAGGCACTGCAGAAGGAACAGGCTAAATACATGGAGCTGGCAAATGAAACAATTAGTGATGATGTAGTAACCATAGTAAGGTGCCTTTCAATACTTAATTCGAAACACAGTATTATCTTACATATGTATGGTGTCAGGATGTGGCAGATGTCGTGCCTGCCGAACCCTTGTCACCCGAGTACCGGGTTTCTGGGTTGCCCAACCGTCGGCGTCGCTTACCAAAGAGGTTTCGTGATGATCTACCCCCGATTCAAAGCACTGCCGCCATAGCAGTCGCAGCAGCCAAATCCCCCAGGCCTGTTGAAGAAGATCATGACATTGTGCTTGATATGGAGACTGACAATGGGTCCCCTCAACCACCTTCGGAGAGCCATATCACCACTGAACCAGACCATTATGGAGTTTACTGCACATACTTCGGACCGAATCTGCCTACTTATGACCCTGATGGCATTGCTGACATCAATCACCTTTCAGATGCACCAACTTTCCCACTCCCTCAAGACCAGCAACACCGAGTTGCATCATGGTGGTCTGGATTTGGCTCATCATTGCGCTCTGTCCAAACTGACTATTTTGCACCATTCCTCAATGCAACTGTATTCCGGCTGATAAGTTGGTTTTATAATGGGACTAATGTGAAGTCACTTGCAGATCTTGATCGCCTTGTGCATGATGTAATCCTCGCCCCGGATTTTGACAGAGCTGGTCTAGAGGGTTTCCGAGCTGTAAAAGAAGTAGAAAGGATTGACGAACACCAGGGCGACCCCAATGATCTTGAATCTGCTTTCTTGGCAGCGGCTGGATGGAAAGAAACTACTGTACAAATACGACTACCGGCGGATGGCATTTTACATGCATCTGAAGACGAGGCACCCCTATTCAACATACCAGGCCTCTTTTACCGCAAGCCACTCGAGGTTCTCTGGTCAGCACTTTGTGAGACATCGGCAGAACAATTCCATTTGTCCCCATTTCACACATATGCCACTGATATTGACTCCCATGAACTACCAACACAGCGCATCTACTCAGAGATCTACAACTCGGATGCAATGGTCGAGGAACACCACAGAGTCCGAGAGCAATCACGTGCAACTGGGTGCACTCTGGAAACTGTAGTTGCAGCAATTATGTTCTGGTCGGATTCAACGCACCTTGCGAACTTTGGCACTGCATCTCTTTGGCCAATTTACATGTATCTTGGAAATCAGTCAAAATATATACGAGGCAGGACAACATCATTTGCCGCACACCACCTTGCTTACATTCCAAAGGTTTGTCCTCGCTATTTTTCCTACTGGTTCATTTATTGTTGTTATTATTATTAACATTACTTGTATAGTTGCCCGACACTCTCCAAGATTTTTATTACCAAGTGTTTAACAAGGCTGCAACTTCGGAGATTCTCACCCTATGCCGACATGAGATAATGCAAGCAATATGGTTACTGCTTCTGGACGATGATTTCATGCATGCCTATCAGTTTGGGCTGGTAGTCGAGTTTGCTGATGGGATTCTGAGGCGTGTTTTTCCACGCATCTTCACATACTCAGCTGACTACCCTGAAAAGTAAGTTCGTGCTGTGCTTTGCCAATATGTATCTCATCTCACCAACAGGGTACTTCTCGCATGCCTCAAGTTTCTGGGAGGATGCCCATGTCCTCGTTGCCTTATCAAGAAAGATGAAATTTCAATGCTTGGGACAAAGGCTGATCGAAATCTTCGCTCTAAAAGGGCACGTGTTGACAACAACAGATTTTGGTTTGTGGTGAAGAAAGTGTGGGAGTGGCTCTTTGTGAAGGGTTTGAACATAGCGAGTGCAGCAGTAAAGCGCTTGCTAATGCCGGAGTCACTTGTTCCAACAGTGGTAAGTTTTCAAGCCTGTCCAAACTATGTGATAACTTGTAATTGCCTTTGAATACTTTAGAATGCCTTCTCAACTCGACTCTCACAATTTGGGGTCAATTTTTTCTCCATGTTTGTGCCAGATCTACTACATGAGTTCGAACTTGGAGTATGGAAGGCTACCTTTACACA